ATTGTATATATGAAGACTATATGGCAGAAAACCCTGAGGGGGTGGACTGTAGGGTAAAGAAAAAATATCAGGCTTTTCTGCCCTCCCGCCATCAGGCTAGATGATGGGTCCTTGCAGTCCTGAATGCATGCCTGCTGGTGGGCACCTGGAATGGGGTGTGGGCCTAGGTAGATGGGATTCACCTGGGTTAAGACTGGGTTTTTAAGGGCGGCGTCATGGGGACACCAGTAGAACCTGAGAAGCAGAAGCAGAGATCACCAGAGAGCCCAGATAGAGTGAGGATTTGCTGGGGGCTGGGAGGACTGCCAGCCTCCCGGCCCCCCAGCACCCTTGCCTGCTGTGTACCGGGTAAATCCCAATAAAAGACCTGCAAAAACCACTGAGGACTCTGACTCCTCCTTTACCCGTCCTGCTGGATATTAGAAAACCTGCACCGTGTTCTTCCTGCCCTTTACAGAGAGGCCGTCTGTTAGTTTGTGCAAGATGTTTTAAACATTCGCTTCTAGATGGTTAAGTCTTCAAAATACTTGAGATAAGATCGTCGATTTAATTCCTAATAATTGCCTGACAGCACCTAATGCTTACAAACAGCAAGAAAGCTGTGCCCTCTCTCATGAAACCAGAAAAGCAGACCCTGGAAAGCCCTTGCCTCCTAAGCCAATGCAGGGGGCTGGGGCACGTGTAGCCCCTTAGCTACAAAGAAATGGACCGATGATTGCAGGATGCCCAAGGCTGTTCTTAAAGGCCTTTATCCCTCTGAGCCTTTTCAACTGACTTTGACACTAAAGAATCCATACCCCAACCTGCCACTGAAGAAGTGGGCATGCTTTTCCATGCCTGCACGCACTAACACGACTGATTAAAATTCAAACCTCCAAACCAAAGCAACCCAGAAGCTATTTATGAAAATACGTTCTCTGTGCTGTTTCTCACTGCTGGTCTGCCTGTTGATTCGGAGTTGTGCTTCTCTCCCTGGAACCTGCCCTCTGCCTTCCTTTCTCATCACTGTGTGAGGTTGCTCCTGAGCTCAGGATACCAGAGCTACGTCTTCAGGAAGACTAGAGAAATGGGCGGGGTTTCTACTGCCCCCAGAGGTGTCCTGGGCATGAGCTGACCTGGCTCAGGTTTGGAGCCTCAGAGATAAGCCAGTAAAGCCAGGCTTTGGCTCACCAGCACAGGGGTCTTTGCTAGTGGAGGCGGTGACTTCTGTTTGCAATCATCTACTACCCGCCCCCAGCCCCCACGTCCTTGGCAGTATGTAGCACAAGGCTAAGATTCCAGAATTCCACTGGAATTTAAATTGTAAGTGAGGATAAACAGCCTGGTGGGGTCTCCACAGGTCTGGGGGAAAGGGTCCTGGGTTAGCACAGGGGTGCATAATGCATGCCTGTTAGTTGAGAGACAGGTTCAATCCCTAGTCTGTTTTCTGCAGCTGCTGCATAGACAGGGTGGAATAAACTTGGGCTGCGGCACTAGCCTGGATAGAGCAGGGTCAGAACCTGGGGACGGGCTCTTTCTCCCCTGCTGAATCCTCAAGTCGGGATGTAGCTGGAGGGAGGATGAGGGCTGAGAAGGGTACTTTGGACGGAGCATCACAAAGCGATGGGGGTGGGGGTCAGGTGAATTCATTCCTTCCCACCTGGCAGCTGAATGACACAATTCTGAAATTCTGATCTGACTCTGAGTTGGGAGAAACCATGTACTCTGTCTCACCTACTGCCCCCAATTCTGCCCTGCCCTGGAAGCTCCATTTCTTGAGTAGTCATGTAATTATTGGGTAACTGCATGGCAAGTTGCCCCAAAACACCCTCTGTCCTCTGGAAGATGCTTCCAAAGGAAGCATGTTACTGGAACAAAAAAAAAAAAAAAATCTGCATGAGCTAGGTTTTTCCCTTAGAATGGCTCCTTTCATCACTTGGAGCTCTGCTGTGTGAATTACGGCGCAGGCTGGGGCCTGACCATGGTGTCCTGTACCTGCTCCTCTCCTCCAGGGTGTGCATGCACGGATACGTCATGGACTGTTTTCTTTGGGTGTCTTTTCGATGAGAAAATAACCTGTCTGGTTTAAGGGTGAGGTAGATAGGAAGTAAATACCAGCCTTATAGATAAAGGTAAGATCAGTAAAAATGGAATTTTTTTCAAATTGGGGGATGGAATGTCCACTTACCAAGGCCCCTTTATGACCTGAATATTGTGCATTTGAGTAAATGTCTTGATCTGAGTGAGGTTTGGGCCCCCAGTGAAGACAGCTTTTAGCTACGAGAGTAAATCATGCCAAACACTCGTGGGTTTGTGCTCATTTATTTCTAATTTTATGGTTCTAATTTTATGTTTTTTTTTTTTTAATTTATGTATTCATTAGTACAAGAACCAGGATACAGGCCAGAGATGTGGGAGGGTGAGAGGATTCACCAGAGACAGAGCGGGGAACAGAACAGGCAGACTGATGAGAGATCTGCCATGCCGTGTGGGTATCTTCCCTGACGGGCCGGGATCAAACCTGTACTGCAGAGGGTGCGGACAGCTTCACAGCACTGCACTCAACCACCTGCACCACCAGGGGGCCCCTAATTTTATGGTTTCTAATTCTATGGCTCAGTAGTACTGATAGAAAGAATTGTTGATACTGGCCTGCTTTCGCTTACCTGCACTGAGGGTGGTGGTGATGGTGGTGGTGAGGATGATGGTGGTGGTGAGGATGGTGGTGGTGAGGATGATGGTGGTGGTGAGGATGATGGTGGTGGTGAGGATGATGGTGGTGGTGAGGATGGTGGTGGTGAGGATGATGGTGGTGGTGGTGATGGTGGTGGTGAGGGTGACAGTGATGGTGGTGAGGAGGATGGTTGTGGTGAGGATGATGGTGGTGGTGATGATGGTGGTGAGGATGGTGGTGGTGGTGAGGATGATGGTGGTGGTGAGGATGGTGGTGGTGAGGATGATGGTGGTGGTGAGGATGGTGGTGGTGAGGATGGTGGTGGTGAGGATGATGGTGGTGGTGGTGATGGTGGTGGTGAGGGTGACAGTGATGGTGGTGAGGATGATGGTGGTGGTGAGGATGGTGGTGGTGAGGATGGTGGTGGTGAGGATGGTGGTGGTGAGGATGATGGTGGTGGTGGTGATGGTGGTGGTGAGGGTGACAGTGATGGTGGTGAGGAGGATGGTTGTGGTGAGGATGATGGTGATGGTGGTGATGGTGGTGGTGAGGATGACAGTGATGGTGGTGAGGATGATGGTGGTGGTGAGGAGGATGGTGATGGTGGTGGTGAGGAGGATGGTGGTGATGAGGATGATGGTGGTGGTGGTAGTGATGGTGATGATGGTGGTGAGGATGGTGGTGGTGAGGAGGATGGTGATGGTGGTGGTGAGGAGGATGGTGATGGTGGTGGTGAGGAGGATGGTGGTGATGAGGATGATGGTGGTGGTGGTAGTGATGGTGATGATGGTGGTGAGGATGGTGGTGGTGAGGATGATGGTGGTGGTGAGGATGATGGTGGTGAGGATGGTGGTGGTGGTGGTAGTGATGGTGATGATGGTGGTGAGGATGGTGGTGGTGAGGATGATGGTGGTGGTGAGGATGATGGTGGTGAGGATGGTGGTGGTGAGTATGATGGTGGTGGTGATGATGAGGAAGAGGAGAGGGAGGAGGAAACAGTGAGTACAAAAGTTGGGAGATTGACTGACCTCACTGCCTTCTCTTGGGCCACATTTCAGACCTCTGATCATCAGTCACCGTGAAAGCACAAATGGGCTCGTGATACTGGGGAATTAGCAGTGGGTCAGCACTCACTCAGCAAGATTGTCTGAGTGGGTGGAAATGGCCTTGGCCCTGCTGGTGTTTTGTGCTTGAGAATCACATGGCTTTCTGCCATGAACGTGCCCTTTAGAGCAGCACGGAGGAAAGCTGTCTCATCGTGGCCCCCACCTGCGAGCACAGCCCTTCAGGAACATCCTTTGGAAAATCTGGGTCTGTAATTTGACGTTGGCAAGAGCATGTCTGGTTTTCTCACCGAGTCAGAGAGAACTTACTAGGGATTTGGGGGGTCATGGCGGGGACTGATGTAGTCACCACCACAGGGCTGGCCAGCTGGGTGGGGATGCGGCCGCAGATTGAACGCCTTTGGAAATGACACATCGTCATGAAGACATGCTTTTGAAGGCAGATTTCCAGGTGTGCTGTAAGCCATCCTAGACTGTAATTGAAATGTGAAAAGATGCTTCAAAAGCAGTGATCTGTTTTTTGGTGATTGTTGTGCTAATCCTGAAATCCTAGCATGAATTAATATAAAGACAGGATTGGCGGCATAAAAGTACCTGTTTTAATCATTTAGCATGTTCAAAACTAAACTGGTGAGGTTTTGAGTCCAAGGGTGAAAATCTAACTTTCATTTATCAAATCCCACTGTAATCTGCCAAGAACAGCCACCAGGGCCCCTGTGGCAGCTGTGCCGAGGGGGGTCCTTCCTCTCTCCAAGCCTGGAATGGGGAAGATTTGCTGCAGTTCATGTATAATGAAGTGGTAGAGGCTGATGTGGTTTCAAGTGCTTTGCTGAGCTCAAAGTGAGCGAATCCATTTTCCATTACACTCCGGCCCCAGGTGGGTGCCGCCACAAGGCGTGGTTTGGCAGGAGGCTCTGTCGAGGCGCTAAGTCATCAGTGGCTTTGCAGCAGGTGTGGGGGCTCCTTTGCCAGCTGCTCCATGCTGTGTGGGCAGGCTGCCGGGAAAGCTTGCCACCTGCGGTAGTCGGCTCTGCCCCACGCTATGTGGCCCCTCTTGCGTTGGAGGCTGTCTTGTGCGGATGGAGGGGCAGCGGGTATGGATGGGCCTCTGCGGTCTGGGTGGCAGTCCTCATGGGGTACGTGACTTCTCCCCACCTGTCCCTACTTTCGTCAGGGATGGCGATCCTCGGGTAGCCGGGCGCCAGGACGCGGGCAGTGGTGTCTGTGTTCTGTGTAGGTTGTCCTGGGGACAGGAGCTGACCCTATTGTGCTCTTTCTTCTAGACACACTACTTTGGCCTTTGGTTTCTCAGCAAGAGCCAGCAGGCAAGATGGGTGGAGCTGGAGAAACCGCTGAAGAAACATCTGGACAAATTCGCTAATGAGCCTCTGCTTTTCTTTGGAGTCATGTTCTATGTTCCAAATGTGTCCTGGCTTCAGCAAGAAGCCACCAGGTAGGTGCCTGGTTCCTTGGAGGGTGGCGGCTGTGGGGCTTCAGAGGAAATAGAAGAGTTGGTCTGGTGGGCGGGATATGTGTGTGTGTGTGTGAGTGTGTGTGAGAGTGTCTGAAGGGCCAGCTTCGAGGGTGTGAGTGACCCTGTGTGAAGTGTGTTGACGAGCCCCAACTGAGGGCTTGGGCCAGAAGGTCTGCTATTGCACGAGTAAAGGGTTAGAAACGTGCTGTATGGAGCAAAGGGCTGTTCAGGCTCAGAGAAAGAAGACTTGAGAGGGTGCAGTAGCTTTGGGCATTTGAAGGCTTGTCTGTGGGGAGGGGGTTCTGTTAGGCTTGGGGCACAAACTTACGGCCAGTAATAAGCAGAGTTCAAGGAGTTGGCTCAGTGCGAGAACACACTTTCACTAAAGTCATGTCGACGTGGGCCTGGCAGGCTGGCAGGTGCAGAGTGGATGACCGGATGGGTATGGAGAGGAGACCCCCGCGTGGGCGGGTGTCGCTGGGACCAGGGTCTGCTGTGTGGCTGTCACCAGAGTGTTTATTGGGAATGCAGGTTCCAGGGCTGCCCGGCCGTGGAACTCTTCAGAATTTCTAGGGTGGGGTGGGGAAGCTGCTGGTGACAAAAAGCAATTTCCTTAGGGGTTCTGATTCATCAAGACTTGCAAATCAGTGAAGTTGACCTCAAACTCTCTAGAGTTTTTCATTTTCCAGGTAAATAAACTTATGGCTGCATTATTAGACTGTATATATTTGCATGTATAAGCTGAAACCAAAAGTGTTTAAATCTCAAAACCTGAATAGAGGAAGAGGTTTTGGGGGTGAGGGTGATTGAGCCTGAGGCTGGAAGGACTTCTTTCCATTGTCTTAAAATTTTTCCCCCTCCATTAGCTTGGTTTGTGGAAATGAATGAGGTGGATTGAAGTGTTTTCCAACATGACAACTGTTGTAATTTGATTAGAAAAACTAACCAAGAAAATAGTTTGAAGCTTGAAAGACATTTTATTTTTTTTAAAGATTTATTTATGCATACAAGAACTGTGGTGTAGGCCAAGGCGGGGCAGGAGGGTGGTGGTGAGTGGACTCACCAGAGACAGAGTGGGGAGCAGAGCAGGTAGATCCACTGAAATGCACTACTGAGGGGAGCAGCGGGGAGACAGGAGAGGTTTGCTGTGCCTTGTGGGTATCTCCCTGGCTGGGGATTGAACTCGTGCTGCAGTGGCTTGATAGTGCTGAGACTTAACCCCTTGCTCCAGCAGGGAGGCCCCTGAGAGACATTTAAAGTGGAAACTAAAGTGTGTAGATTTCAGGTAAAACCTGGAAGTTAGGAGGTGGGGGGGTTGTGTGTATGTGTGTGTGTGTGTTCGTTCAGCACTGTAGGAATGAATTTGTGTTGCCCCAGCGGGTCCTAAAACTGGAATAGGACAAGGGGTATCATAGTAAGTCAAAGACTCAAACTGGTGCCTCTCTAGTGGCCTAGGGGCTAATTCTCCTTGTTGTCACTGCCATGGCCTGAGTTGGCTCCCCAGCCAGGGAGCCGACCCACATGGTGCAGCAGACCTCTCCTGTCTCCCTGCTGCTCCCCTCAGCAGTGGATTTCAGTAGATCCGCCTGTTCTGCTCCCTGCTCTGTCTCTGGGAAATCCTCTTACTCCCCACACCTCTGGCCTGCACACCAGTTGTACGCAAAAAAAAAAAAAAAAAAAAAAATCAAGCTGGGGAAAGAAAAGAGAGAAAAGAGTGTCACAAATCAGGGAAGGAATAATAATAGAGGGTATAGCGGTAAAAGAAAAGAAAAAGGGCTTGAAATACTTGGGAAGAGGCCGACCACAAAGACCTGGTGTGAGTCTGTTGGCACCCGCAGGTCGTGGGCACGTGCATTGGCGTGGAAAGGAGGCCTGGCTTGCTCCCGATCACTGGTTCTGGAGTTAGAGACCAGTGGACGAGCCGAGCTAAGCCCAAAGTGAAGGTGGCTGATGTCCCCTGGGAGAGTCGGGGGCTTCCTGGGAGGTCTTCAGTCACCTGGGGTGGGAAGGGAAAGTGGGAACTGCCCCGCAGCTGTAGGGCTGAGGAGGAGCACAAGGGGCGGTGGGCCCTGGAGGAACGGCCCCACAGCCGGCCCCGCTCATCTCGCCATGGTGACTCAGCCAGGCTCCGTGTTACCCCAGTGACAGGCATCCCAAGTGGAGACACACTTGTCATGGCCGGCGCACATGGGCTTTCCGTGTCTGACAGCACACAGTCCGTCTCTGTGGTGCCCCACAGAGTGAGACACGACACAGATTAGAGTGAGAATCTGTCTTCCATTGTGGGCTGCATGTCAGAGGAGGCACCGTCTGTGCTCAAACGCTCAGCTGGTGCCTGCAGCCACCTGGGCTGTGCCCTGGGCACATGGTGGCAGCGTTTGACTCCTGCAAGACGGGTGTAAAGGAGGTTCTCGGGCATTTGTGGTACCAGCTATTTCTCCTTTTTCCTTCTGGATAAGGACAAAAAGTTGAGAATTAATACTCCACTTGGGGGTGAGGGGGTGAACCCATGTGTAATAGCACATGGGGAGAGTGAAAGATCCATGTAGAAGGCGTGTGTTCATTTCTTACCTCTAGGTGATCCCACCTTTGAAAACTTGCAGGTTCATAGTTTCCTGAGCACAGCAGAAAGGGCTTGGTGTTGAGTGCAAACTGTTGAGTAAGGTGATCCATTGGCTTTATCAAAGTGATCAAATGCAGGTGTTTTATATTAGGACATTGAGGCATTGTGCTTTTTTTTCTTTTAAGCATTTATTTATTCATACATACAAGAACCAGGATACAGGTCAGACTCATGGGAGGGTGAGATGATTCACCAGAGAAAAAGCGGGGAACAGAACAAGCAGACTGAGTGAAATACACTGCTGAGGGGAGCAGTGGGCGAGACAGGAGAGGTCTGCCGTGCCATGTAGGATTCTCGCCGACTGGCCAGGATTGAACCTGCACTGCAGAGGCTGCAGACAGCCTCACAGTGCTGCACTCAACTGCCTGCGCCACCAGGGGATGCCCGAGGCGTTGTGCTTTCTGACATCCACTGTGACTCACTGCTTCTCTTCGCATCTCCTGGATTTGAGTTTTGAAGAGCTGGTCTTCATATAAAAGAATCTAACATGAAGAGGGGTGCTTCAGGCTCACCCTTAGGTGGTCATCAAAGGCAAAGATAAAAGAACAGCGTTTCTGGAGGCCCCACACGCTACAGAATATGCAAGATGGTGAGCCGGAGACGTGAGCAGGCAAGTGGGGCTGAGCCTGAGCCCACAGCGTGGAAGGAACTACGCCAGTCTGCCCTACCCGCTCCAGACCACGAGACCCATTCCCTGGAGCTTCCCAATGTTACTTCTCTTCCTCTGGCTAAAGGCCACCAGGGGATGAGACCACCATCACTTCTTTCATTTGGCTTTTGTTTCCCAGCCTTTTCCTGCAGCTCTGCTGTCCCATAGAGGGCCTCTGTGTGTCCCCCCCCACCCCCCTCCGGACCTCCCCCAACTCAAAGCAAGGGTGTTTGTGATGTGTTGGAATGATTCGCATAGCAACCGGCTCATTATAAACACATGGTTTTCAGGTTTTTCTGGGCACAGAAAAAAAAAAGTGTCTTGTGAGAGGTGGGGAATTCTTGGTCAAATAGAAGGTACTTCCCAGCATCAGGGGAGGCCAGAGTGCTGCTGGCCCAGGCCCCTGCTGTGAGTTCACATCTGGGGTCTTCCCAGGTCTGTCTATACGAGGAAGGCCCTCCAGTACTCAGGAGAAGGCTTTGAAAAGCAAAGGCCATTTTTAAGGAAAGTCTCTTGAATAAATGGTGCTGAGAGGGCCTCCCTGGTGATGCAGGGGGTTAAGTCTCAGCACTGTTAAGCTATCTGCAGCCACTGCGGCCTGAGTCTGATCCCCGGCCAGGGAGCTACCCACAGGGCACAGCAGACCTCTCCTGTCTCCCTGTTACTCCCCTCAGCAGTGGATTTCAATGGATCCGCCTGTTCTGCTCCCCACTCTGTCTCTGGTGACTCCTCTGACCCCCCACACCTCTGGCCTACACCCCAGTTCTTGCATAAATAAATAAATCTTAAAAAAAAAAATAAATGGTGCTGGGAAAACTGGACCACTACATGCAAAAGAATGAAACTAGACCACTACCTCACACCACACACAAAAGCCAACTCAAAATGGATAAAAGACTTGAATGTAAAAGACCTGAAACCATGAAATACATGGAAGAAAACATAGGCCCCACACTTTATGACACACACCTCAGAAACAGGGGACTCTGAGGACTCACCCTCAGAAGCAAAGGAAATGAAGGAAAAGATAAAACGCTGGGAATACATCAAACTAAAGAGCTTCTGTACAGCAAGAGAGACAGTACGTAAAACGAAGAGACACCCATAGGCTGGGAGAAAATATTTGTACACCATGCATCCTTCTCACTTATTTCACTGAGCATGATCCCTTCCAGCTCCACCGTGTTGCCTCAGATGGCATGAGTTTGTCTTTTTGATTGCTCAGCAGTATTCTATTGTGTGTATAGACCACATTCGCACAGCTAAACAAAAACAAACAACCCAGTCAAAAAATGGGCAGAAGAGCTATAATGACACTTTTTAAAAGAGGAAATGCAAATGGCCAATAGTTATATGGAAAAATGCTCAATGTCACTTATAATCAGGGAAATGCAAAGCAAAACCACAATGAGATCCCACCTCACACCAGTGACAATGGCCCGTATCAAAAAAACTGCAACAACAAATGCTGGCGAGGGTGTGGAGAAAAAGGAACCTGTTTACCCTGCTGGTGGGAGTGCAAACTGGTCCAATCACTGTGGAAAGCTGTGTGGGGACTCTCAGAACACTAAAAATGATCTACCATATGACCCAGCGATTTGGGCCTCCCTGGTGGTACAAGGGGTTAGGCACAGCTCTGTGAAGCTGTCCGCGACCTCTGCAGCACGAGTTTGATCCCTGGCTGGCCAGGGACCCAGCAGACCTCTC